CTTATGTTTTTCTTGTTCATTTGTTGTTGAATGGACCTGATTTATTGTTTCTCTTCAACGTAAAAGCAGAGTAATCGTTTTGAGTTGCCGGTATCTCTAAGTTGCCAAGCATCGATGGTTACCGGGAATTGCTTCCAGGTTTTGAGGATAACAAGCCCATTGTTTGTTGAAATTCAAATTTCACACTGTACACAGTCACGTACAACTGTTCACAACTGTGCAAAAAGAGTTGCAAATCAACTCCGAATGGGTCATTTTATTCACATTTATTACGTGCGCCCAGTTCTCTCCTAGTCGTTTGTCATTTTCCTGAGTCCAGCTTGCGCAAAAGTAATTTTCTTTAATTCCACAATCCCTCTGATCTAGTTGATGCTTTTTCGTAACAAAGAATAGTGGGTTATTCCCGTACTTTAACCAACGCCAGATTGCCGCCACAATGTGACATGTTTTCCTTCCGTTTTTAATTTGCTTTTCCAAACACTTAGGTTGCTAAATTGACGGTGGGTCTAATACATAAAAAAATCAAACGTAGAGAGTCTGCTGTCGGTCGAATGACAGCCACTTTGGCGGACAGAAATTTGACAACAGAGCTCCATCGTGTCTTAGATACTGTCACGTGACTTGGTTATAGTACGGCCATGCATATACGTCAGATGATCCGTAACTCATGTAATTAAAGAAAGTGCCAAGACGACTGAAATGTTAAAGTCATCTGACGTACTTTTGCCTCACTCTATATTTGCCAAATAAGATATCAATATAATCAATTCATTTCAAATTTGTCTTTGTGGAGATATTAATGTCATTCATTTGGACACTCATAACAATGAGATCATCACAGGTATTCAACTCAGATATAAGATTATCGGGATGCTTTAGTTACTCTGAAAATGATTAGCATGCCAACAAAAGCCTTCAAAATGCTTGGACGTTCTTCTTTTATTGGCATAGTTCCACAGGTCTGTACGCTTATTCAAATTAAGTCCTTAATGCACGTTTATAAATGCTGTATCAATGCTTTCTATATGTCTTGATTCCTCATCCCTTAAGACGGCTTACTGCAAATACTCGAGGCATTGTCATGTTCTTCAATAGTTTGCCAGCATCAAAGGTTGGAGATCAACTGTGCAGTTTTGGTAACTTCTTTGGGTCGTTGAGATGGCAGACTTGATGCCCTTTTGAGTTTCACCTCAGATCGTCAGCAATCGATTGGGCAGCCAAGTGGCCAGCCTATCTGGAGAGGAAAAAAATCGATGGAGAAAAAAAGGGGGAAGGCAAACTGCTGCTGTGGTCTTTTTTCACTTCTGAAGTTTCTCTAATCTTCACCCAAGTCGTAAAGACCGTATAGGTTGCCGTCTTGAGAAATCGGACGTGTTGCGTGAGCGTTGAGTTACATCTTTTGGACACCCAAAGGTCGACAACTCAATCAAGCACCGGCTTCCGGTGCGCCCCAACGATATTTTCCTGTTTTACGAAAAATGCCACTTTTAATCGATACTTCTATGGTATCCTTCCCACGCTGCCTTTCTCCCAGATCGGTGGACCAGTGGCAAGTATTCTGCAAATGTATGCCCAGTAGTCAACCTTTAACTTTTTGATGGCTGATGGATGAAAGAGAAAAAGTCAAATCTGGCCTTGTCGAGGACTCTAGCTCTGTGCACAATCATAGATGTGATTGCTTTGTATAAAAGGGGCCTCACCTTATCATGTCTGGCTCCGCTTTACCTAAAGGCAGGCCTATTTTAATCTGCAAATGCTAGCCTCCTGTACCGAAACACCCCAAATGCGACAACATGAACGAGACGTAGACTTGCAAATTAGACGCCTCATCCTTCGCAAGGGACAGATGTAAACCAATTGGACGCCGACTCTAATGCGAAAGCGCGGAGAACAGTAGATTGTTCGCATTATTGAAGGCACTTCTCAGAATTTTTGGTATGTTTTTCAAATCCCATACAAAACGATATCGAATGACGACATGGAACTAGTGATGCAAGCTGTCGTAGGAAGACATGAGATGTGTTGAAACCCCGCAGAAACCCGCTAGATATCGTCGTCTGCCGAACACCTCTACAGGATTGATTGGCGTGAGGAGTTACTTTCGAAGACTATACCAACTGTTTATGTTCATGTTTTGACGCTTGTGTCGTTATGGAGGTCTCTGAAGGGTCTAATGAAGTGTTTGTTCATTTGGGAGAGTATTATTTGCTTTACAAAACTGGAAAATCGATAATTCTTTGTCACCACGGAGCTTGTGCGAGGTTGAAGTGGAATGAACACCGACGGCTATAGTTTGTAAAGAGGGGTGACAAACCCCGGTGAAGATTTGTCCTCATTCACCCATTCAATGATTCAGGTGGATATCTTTTTGTCAGGTGTCTGTTTTCTTGCTCAATTTGGCATTGCAACCGCCAGGGCATGGATCCGTTGAGTAGGGGGACATATTGTGTCGATACTTTCTTTTGTGTAAAGATGTTTGACCCACTCGTCGGATTGTTAGCCCACCCTTGGAGGCATGACTTTGCACAGCAATTCATTCATTGATGATCATGGACTTGACTTGCCATGATTTCTTTGGGTTGAATTTCTTTTGTCACACGCTTTACTTTAAAAAAATCATGGAGAGAGGTCTCCTTCAAGACTGACATAAGCTCGTACCTATAACTGTTTTTATGTCATCCAACTCAGGACTATGGAATCAACTAATAACTGGCTGCCTCGAGAGTAGCGTCTGAACTCAAGTCTATGGAATCAACTAATAACTGGCTGCCTTGAAACTAGCATCTGCTAGTGTTTTAGCATATGACAGATCGGCCTAACGCATCAATGTGCATGACTCTCACCTAAGGAAGGCAATATTTTACAGCACTGTTCGCTAAATCACTCTTAGCTACACCCTTCAAAAGACTAGTCAGAGTATCCCATTCACAATTTTTCCCGGTGTGGCCCAACAATGTAGCCTTTATGAGACCTTAGCGCAGTACTAGTGATGAATGCAAAATCCAGCCATGTTTTTTTCTAACCACCGTGATTACTCCGACATCTGGAGTTTAATTCATTTATGGCAATGTATCCCGAGGAAAATGGATGGGATAATTAAATTGAAAGCGACGTTGTTGTGAGTTACACTCTCGTCATTTCTAAATGAGCGTCTCTTTGCTCTTTAGTTTGTCTCCCTGTTGCGCATGCATTTCCTTCGTCACCAGATGAGTGATTACTTACCCCAATGTTTCCTTAATTAAATTTCTGCACAAGAAAGGAAGCAATTGTCCCATTATGTTACGATTCCGTTCAAAATTAAGTGCATTAGTCATGGAGGAATCAATTAATTTTTTTCTCATATTTTGGCTACTACCATTTCTGGTTTTTACGCTCGCTGACCAGTTGAAAAAATTATACAAGAGAAAATTAGTTGACTCGAGGCAACATTGGGTGCCGTGGGAATCGTACTTCGTCAATTTTACTTTCAAATGTTTTTGCTGTTTTGAAATTTTCGTGTTTGCCTTTGAATAAGATGGCAGTTGAGACATTTTGCCTTTACATCCAGAGAATGGACGAAGAATTTATAATTCAAGAAGAACAAAAAGTGTCCCACGGAACACTGTCGAAAACTTGAAACAGTGGGGGGGATGCTGACTAGTCTCAGACTGCAGTCACAAAAACACGTGCAGCAGCTGGGGAAATGCCAAGTAGTGAGCAAGTCTTGTAATTGCTGTCCCAGCTAAGCAGGTGCGCCCGGCTGAAATACAGCGACAATTTCATTGATTTTTTTTTTCAAGTTAATACCCGATAGGATGTCACCGACCATGGTGCATTGCGACCGAACTGGCGCACTTGTGGGTTAAGGTTGATTACCGAGGCTCATCCAAAAGGGTTTACCTGTAGATATGTCTAAATGAACGCAGACTACAGAGCCAGCCTGCTTTCTCTGATGTCCGTTGGAAAAATACATTTTGATGAAGGTTATTACCGAAACACGCCTCCCACAAATCTTTAAGCGTGCTTCATGATTTATCAATCATACGACTCCAACATGTTGAGTAAACATTTCCGCTACATTTGGGGTGGTAAAGACGAGCTTTCGTTTAATGGTATTACATTTTTGAGAGGAGCATTTACATCAGTTTGCACCAGCAGTTATTATGACTGACTTAGTCCTATAGTTTACATTTCATAGATGAACCTTCAAAACGGGCGATTTACACGTTAGATTATCTCTTATTTCCAAAGATTTAAAGTAAGGACTGAACAAAGTGAGTAAACTTTATTCTGGATTTAGATTAAACAAAGCTTTTAAAAAGAACCACTTCTGGGGTAATTGGAGTGAACTTTTGAACAATTGGAGTGAGGAAATCTCACTCGAATTATCTTCCCCAGTTTCACTCGAAGGGAGTGAATTGTTACTTGAATGGAGTTAATTTCCACTCTTTTGAATTTAGAACTTGGCCTGTCTTGACTTTGCACACAACAACCATAGAACTTACAGTCCCCTGTTAAGAAAAGTGACGACAAATCATCCATTGGGGACGGAACTACACAAAACCTGCTTGACACAGATTGATTAACTTTATAATTTGACTTCTCGTTCGTGTTGCGGTCTCGTCAAACTTGGCCTGGTACAGACTTTAAAAGATTGTCAAAGAACGTTGGTGATTGATGGTGCCTACGCAAACGGAAATCTCTTTAGTGGAAAATTGTGCTATCCTGGTGGTCCGCATATTTCATTTGTTATATATTAGGAAGTTGTTACGAGAAATTGAACACCACCACGGTTTTTCCCCTTTATCTTGTATGAGTATGACCAATGCAGCTGATTATGGCTTGTTTTAGAACCCTTGTGATCAGCAAAGTAGGGACATTCGAGAAGTCAGACAGCAGCTATGAGGTAGAGACTGATCTCCAAATCAGAAAGACGGTTTTATTTCCTATGGAATGGTCATAAAACCGGTGACATGCTCTTCTTAATTTTATTTCTCTTTTTTTCTCTGCTGCTTGATCAGTGGGTGGAATTTTCGACAAAAGCCCTGAAACGAGTAACGCCGAGAGAGCTTTCACCTTCGCCGTCGAACGCTTCAACACCCAGCACTACGTCAACGACACGACCCTGGTGGCAGACGCCGTGCAAGTGGCGAGCAACGACACCTTTGATGCCACCAAAACAGGTGAGACTTGTTTGGCAAGAGGCGAGGCTCCCGTGACGTCATGACTGGCAGGTGACCTCATTAAGGGGGGGTGGTAATAATCTACCGGCGAAGGCATTCTACTTTGATTGCGGCGCGATTAATTAAGGCAGGAATGCTGGCAACGGCTGCTCCGTCGTAAGGAACCGTTAAATATATCCGTATATGAACTGGGTATTTCAGCTATGAATTACTAGGAGATACTTTCACTGTTTGTGGGGAATTCGCTGATGATTCTCTTTGTAGCGTTGTGTGACTGGGCTTTTCAAGTTTTACATTATGCCTTTGAAGAGCAATTCCCACTGCGTGAAAGGGTTGTCATGGGAACAATGTAAATACAAAATATTCCTGAGTACAGGCATTGAAGCTGAGCCCCGTCGCGCCCTGGGGGTTTGGGGTTTTATTGACAGTGGGGGTTTGTTTATTACGATCGGGGGTCAAAAGCGAAGTCTCCGGCCGGCATAAATTGTATCCTTTGTTAAGTGCATCAACTCTCATCAAGCTCTCTTCACTACACAGACAGGAAATTTTTGGCATTGAGCTGCGGACTAAACGCTCTGGCAACCCACCACGATACAAAAGATATTCGGAGTTATTTCATATCGTCCACTTCAATAATACCAACAGCATACAACCACAAGCTTCTATCGAGATCTGCTCCTTGTTCTATATGTTTGGTTGACAAAGCACGATAACTCAACGAAATCTACTATTCGATAGATATTCCACATTATGCTTGATAGATTGACAGTGTAGTTGCCAAAGTGGCATCGTTATTGATGCGTCCTTTTCGTCAGGAAATTTAAGTCAGGACAATATTTCCGGTTGTGCCATACACCATTCCCCCGTAAGTTATGGAGTCCACAACGACACTTGTAATTGCTCTTTTTTTTCAAAATTACACGACCCCCGAATTTGTGATATGGTTGAGGTTCAAGCCTATTTTAATCGGATTGCATTGGGCATACCAAAATTTCGTTATTTGTTCTTTTTAAATATTTTTTCCCATTATGCATCAGTTTGTGCACGTCGTAATAAACCTATACGCTCATGCGTGTCATAAAAAAAATTCCCTTTGGAAACGTCGTTATGACTATGTATTGAAATGGATTTACCACCGTGACGGTTCACACTCTCTGAACCCCTGACCCCACGGGACGCTGGTCTTACTTTTACATTCTTCAAAGGTTTAAAAACCGACATCCGCTTATTCTATAAACCCTTTTCTAAGGGTGGGAGAATGCACTTCAAGATCAGCGGTGCACCCAGGATTTGCGGTGGGGGTCGGACCATAACCCCCCCCAACTTGCTTATGATGCTCAAGCTCCTTCCCCCAGGGTAGTACCACAGGGGACTGAGATGTACGGCTATGTCTGAGCTAGTGTTTACATTTTTCAGAAAAGTAAAAGTAAATCGACGACATCTGGGAAGAGGTTCAAGACCTCCGAACCCCGCGCCCTGTTGCGGCAGTAATCAAAATCTCCCTCTTTGCAGACATCGAGTACTCCTGCGCAAAGGCAGAGAAGCCGAATCCTATCTCGCATGGGGGATTTGGGTTTTCAATGGCGGTAGATTAGGTGGTCAAGAGAAGCTTCTGACCAATTTTAATGTGCATCCTTTGTTGAGCCATTGTGCCTCAACTATTGAGCTCTCTGCACCATACAGATTGGGGTCGGTGTTTGGCTGGGTTGGGGACTTCATAACTTGAAGGGAACCAATCTCGATGAAATAAAAATATTCTGAGACACTTCACGTCTGTCACATCAAAAACACGAACAGCACATAACCATACGTTTTCATCAAGCGTTGTACCCAGATCTATGTTGGTTGATGATTCATGATAGCAATCAATAATTCTCGTTACAAACTCCTCATATGTTTGATAGATTGGAAGTATGGTTGCAAAGTGGCATCGTTGTTTATGCGTCCTTTTCGTCCCAGATTTTGGAATCCACCACGGCACTTGCCATTGCAAATTCTCTTCATAATAACCTGCAATGGTAAAATCGTCGCACGGGCAAGGTTCCAGCTTAGTATTATCGGATTGCATTGAGCATGGCAGAACTGCCCTTCGTTACTGATGAATTTGAAGTTTATTATGTAGCAGTTTTGTGCACGTCACCGTTCAATGGAATGCTGGTGATGCGTGTTACATACGACTTGCCTTGAAAACGTCCCATTATGTATGTGCATGAGAAACGCATGGTTCACGCTCTCTGCAGCCCCGGCCTCGGCGCCAATGGACGGTGGTTTTAACTTCAAGCTCCCATTCAAACGGATGAGACAGCTATAAACACCCATTCTCACCCCTTTCAGTATGGAAGAATGGTCGTCCAGAGCTCCATCTGAGCACTTTGCCAAACACAGATTTAGGTTAAGTTGTTTTGCCGCCAAATTTGAGGAGCAAGCAGACAGCGCATGCGGAGCATCCTCATCATGCACATGTCTCTCGTGTTTGTGCAGGGTATGTCGCGCTCGGAGTTATTTTCGACCCTACCATCACAACTTATCTCGCTCATCGTCGAGACCAGCACAGAAAATCGAATGTGAAAATACAAACACGGCCTTGTAGCGGAGAAGCCCCTACGAGAGAGATGGATCAAGGTTCGAGACGGGTTGTTGCGGTCGATACCGAGAACAAATTGGTTTAACCCCTTTAGGCTTAACCCCTCATCTGTTCGTGCAGTCACGTTCATGTTTTGTGCTCTCTAAACGTTTGTAGCACCCCATCGATACCGATACCAACAACACCGATTGAGACTTTAATTACAGTTTAGAAAAGGATATCGACCACTCAGTTACTGTTATGAAAAATAAAAGCTTAACAGGGGTGCTGGAACTGAGATGTAAGCTTGCAAACGAAAGTACCAGATTCTTACCAAATTAGTCTTGGCAATAGGTGCTGTACAGCAAACAGTGGTGCAGAACTGCGCATGCTGTCAGATCATTAAGCAGGCCAGGCGTAGGTGATCAAGCCTTGAATAGTATTAAATGTCATGAATATTTCCGTACTTGAGAATTATCCCCGTTGCTGTTCTCATTATGGATATTGCAACAGCCGTGGAAACATCCACCCCATATGAAACTGTTGCTAAGGACAAGCCTAACGTACGTCGGTTCGACGTAGGAAAGGGTATAGTCGGGGAAACGATCAAAACACATGCTCGACATAAAAATGGGCTTACATAAATGTGTATCTCGACACAATACCACTGTGTCTGAAATCAGCAATGTAATGCATGACACCTGTCTTGAAATTTTATTATGTGTGCAACAGTGCGAGTACCTTTGCATAGAAAGCACTCATTGCATCCTATACGCACCGGCTCATTTTGCTCAAAAACCAGTACATTGTACTCATTTACTGTTTATAATGTTATTAGGCCTATGTGTACCATGATTTTGGAATAAAAGTTAAGTAGCCACATTTACCTGAGGCAAGTCTACCCATGATTAAACATTTTGCTTTGGATCTGTTAAACCTAGCAGAAATTGAAATCATCTCTTGCAAAATCGAACCCCCCCCCCGAAAACAAGAAATGAGCCTTCAAACGATCTGCTGTGTTTTTTCTGAGAGCCAAATGTCGTATATCAAATGGGTTTATTTCCTTCCGACATTTTACTGGATATAGCGGGGGGGGTTGGTTGTTGATACATCCACGTGGGTTTGAAATGGGCTACTGGAGAATTTCAGGGGATGATTCATTATATCAAACCCTTTGAATGAAATAGTTGATATTGTGTGTATGCACTTTTTTGAAAACAAGTGGTTGGAACTGAAAAAAAATAAACAACTGGTTAAATCAACCATGCAGCAGATTGACTTGAAAAAGTACGCTTTTCCATTACTGCGAGAATTGAAAGCATTTTGTGATGAATATATTGGCGATTTTTTGACTGACAGGGCAACAAGAACAAATATTCATCCGAGAAATAGATGTAAAACTCAGAATATCTTTGGAAGTGATCTTGGGGAAGATGCACAAAAGACATAACACCCTGCCTCATATGGTTTACTTTAGACGAAGAGAAAAGCTCCCTGCAAGCTGGTTAATTGATAAGTCATCATGAAATTTTTCATTTCTGTGGGTAAAAAAGAAACTTGAAACATGGACAAGAATGTACAGTGAACATGACCACGGTTCGATACGTAGCTGCTGAGTTCCCCAAAAAGTAGAGTGATTTATCGCCAGGAGATCGCGTGCCAGGCGTGTGCAACATCGCTCGGGTCTCGTCCATGACGACGGCTTGCACGCACGGCGCGACGCCTCATCACAATCCCGCTGCTTACCTGTCAAATTGGGAGTCGGATTACCCGGGTGCTCGTGTGCCGGCTCTTCTAGATCCCTTGGAGAGAGTTTGCCCAGCTACTTTTGGTGCAAGGGGCTTTATTGGCAAATGTAATTCCACTCAACGGATTTTCGATTGGCGGATTTTGCGGTGTTGCTGGGGGATATCTGCAGGACTTAAACCAAACTTTGGCTGAGACGGAGGGAGTTACTTTGTTACGTCACTGTATGATTAATAGGCCAACAGATGACTCAAAGATTCTTACAGCGACATGTCGCCAGCAAGAGTTCATGAAACTTTTGGACAAGGACGCTTCCTAATTTTTCGGGTAGGGGGTAAGCTTTCTGTTGGGGGGAGTTAATTTTTCATACACCCTTTTCTGGCCTTTGAGTTGCCTCTGAGTTGCTTTCGTGTCCATTCATCCTCATGCAAGCTTTCGTAACACATGAAGAGAATATGGGGTGCACGGGTCTCGGATTGAAGCCCCCCCCCCGTGTCTCGCCACTCAGAATTAGAGAATGAAAAACCGGTGATAGTCCGTCTTGATCAGCGTGTTACCTATCACTCAGTGGGGATGAGGTAGTTTAGATCCTAACACGTCCCCTCCAGATAAGCACTGCCCGACCACAGGATCGGCACTTGCTTCAGTCGATCGATGTCGTCAACTCAGAAGTTTTTTGACCGTTAAACCT